CACCGAAAGGCTCTGAGTGTTTTTGTTTTTACTTGTAGTGCTAGAAAACAGCTCTATATATGCATATGGTAGCTAAACAGCTCGAGTTCTGCAGTGCTAGAAAACAAGCATCACTGTGCAGAAGGTTCCCTTTATTTTCATTGCTAAATAAAGGGTGATTAGTAGACGATGTATGGATTATACGCCGTGATTTTTCATCTATCGGTGAAATCAATATAATTAGTAATGTTGAGAAGTTATTGACTAACTATTTGTTTAATAAGTATATATAAATTTCGTTTCTTAATGTTGTAAGAGGTAGTAAGTTCAAATCTCTTACGTTTCGAGGACATAAAAAAATTGAAAAACTAGTATATTGATTAGTAGGGTTTTGAATTTATGCTTAGAAACTATAGGAAGTTTGAATAATGTGGGGACCATTTAGGGCTTCCAATGTCTGGAGTATCTTTGAAGTTTTTCAACTAAGATCTGGTTTGCACTGTGGTTGATGTAATGTTATGATATATATATATACTTTTATGTGAGTCGAGACAACGCTTTAATTAGCCATTGGCACACCATTCACCAACCCCATTTTTAAAAATCTGAAACGTACCAATATCATCCCATTTAATTATTTTCTTATGTATTTATTTTTGTCTATTATTCACAGTGATGAACAGCAAATCATTGTGATTCGTGAATAAACTATAATGTGTAAGCAAAGATATAGGATATGGGATTTACCAAAAAGATTAAAATATATAATGTGTAAGCAAATATATATTGTGTGGTGGCAAAGAAGGATATTTATATAAACCAAGTTGTCCCCTCTTTCACGGATATAACATTATTTTGTCATTTTCGACTACTAACATAATGACACGTGAAAAAGTTAGTCTATATATTGTTGCGTTATTAATTGGAGATAGCAAAAAGTGCTATACCAATTGCATCGAAGTGTTTCTCCTACCTTGGAGTCGAGGCCAATTGACCAAACTCTTTTTTTGTTATTAAATTTTGTCTCATATTAATCAATATAAGTTGACATTAATTGCAATATTTAACTAAGTTTTTATTTATGTAAGACCATAACCTAAAATGATTTGCCAATTTGAAAAGATAGGTGAAATGAAATAAATAAATAAAACCCAATTGATGAAATCCCCTTTTTTTTAAAAAAATTTCTTTCTGTTGACTGGACCACATGATAATTTTTTTTTGGCTACAATAGAACACTTGTTGAAAATTTTGTCATACTTCGAATTTTTGTCTGGTTCATTGTATAGAGTCACTATAAAATACGGGATTTTTTTTGGTAATAGTATTTGGACCAGAATTCCAAACCCATTAGCAAAGTTGGGTTAGAGAACCATCAAATCAAATAGAGGGTGGGCTGGGCTACAAGCTGCAAAAGGGTAGATTTAGCCCTCCTAAAATACTTTTGACAAGTTTTCAGAACCCATGTCAGCTAATGCATCCATAATTTTCACTTCCAAAATACCCAGGTGAGATCTACCCAAGGCATGCAACAGATTTGCTGCCCGTGAGAATTTTATTGTCAAGGGATTTCCAGTGGGTTCCAATTACAGGCAAAGGCATAAAAAAGTGTGTTTGAAAATAGATTATGCAGACTAACTTAAAGTAGATTCAGTGAATTACCAAGACTAGCTACATAATTCAATTAAAGATCGAGTTAAGGGAGAAATCTGCTTAGAGTTTTTGAAATAGACAACACTTAAAAATGTAAAGCAACTTTTCATACAATACTCTAATTCCAGTGCTTAAGGCCTAAAACGAATGAAGAAGATAAAATCTGTACACTAATCTCTCGAGTTACCGCACACAAATATTTGCTTACAATGTAACAGTCTAGAAATGCTCTCAACGTTCTGCACCTATTGGCTAGCTAACAAAGCAGCACATCTACTTAATTTGCAGCCAATCGGACAACTATTTCGGCCATTAATTAAGTAACAAAGGTTCTGATGAAGCTGTCCCATGACCTGACACTGATAATGACAATAAATTCCAAGCAAAAAGAATCATAAATAAACAAAGAAATTGGAAGAGAAGTTCCCACATTGATAACTGATGCAATCATACGTCTGGCAGGTTGACAGGTCTACATCATGGAAGTCGGAGGAGCTTGTTAACACCTGAGTCTAGAGCATCAACATTTCTCCTCAAGAGTTTTCTGCACATGCATTAAGGACTCCAAAACAATATCAACATCACAAAAGCAAAGCACTCTTCAGGAATAGCAGTTCAAGGGAATTCTAAATTCTTAACTGTATTTAACAATTTTTATCAGCTGCCAGCCGACTGATACTAGGCTGAGCATCCAGCTGCCTTCATATCAGCACTTAGTAGGATGAATCCTTGATTTCAGCATAAGTAATTGGTACAAATGGAAGGCCAAAGCATAACGCATGTAAGACACACACATAGGGTATACAAAGAAACAAATGTTTAAGGATACAGCTGCAATGCTAGACTGTCTATGCCCTTCATTTCTTCATTCAATCTGCCCAAAATAGGAAAATCAACGTTTTGTTATGCTGCAAAAGCAAACTCCCCCCGTATTTCCCAGCAAAAAGAGAAAGAGTTGCCTAAAAGTTTAATTCCTCTCCATCCTAAAACTAAGAAAGCACCCAACAGATACTGAGACTCAAAAGTTACTGAGATAGTTGTCTATCAGTGCATTGCATTAGCAGATTTGCTCAAAAGAAAACAAAGTTAAGAACTTCCATGAGAAAGTATTCCTGTGGCCAGTCATCGCAAGGATGTGTGCCACACGTTAATAGCAAACATCTATACAAATAACACACCGCAAAAATACTTTTATAGATGACATATATTACAGTAGGAAATTAAGATACTTAGAAAACGAATGACGGCATGTTAGATAGTGCGATATCTATTATGTGAAGAACAAGAAATGGTCCTTGCAGAAACCACAATTCATGAATCACGGTTATTGCAGACATGTTCATATCATATTATGCATAAAAAATTATGAGTTATCCTACCATATTCAAAGCCATTTCCATTTTCCGCTATCCATTAAATCGTAAGAGAAGGTGTTTTGAGCATTTAATAATTACCTGAGACTTGAATTTATATACCTATTTCCCTTGGTAGCACAATCAAGCACTGAAATTGAAAATTCAAGAACATTATTACCTTCCAGTATTGCACAATTCAAATCAATGATCAGAAAGTTCACTTTTACACAAACAGATACCAGATTCTTGAAGGCGGCCAGCAGCCTCGCTAAAGCAATGCATGTGATCAACCGAGTTGCTAGTGACCTTCATACAACATCGTCCATAATTAGATAAATTTTCAAGTCATTCGATTATTATCTTCTATCAAGAGAACTCGAAAGAAAAAAGTTAAAGGATTGCAGTAATTTTAATTTTCCTTGTGTTTCCTTCACTTTCTCGGCAACCAAACACAAATTCGAAGAAAATAAACTGAAATAAAAAGCGGGAGAGACCTCAGAAAGAGCCAAGCGAAGGGAGGCGAAGAGAGTGGTGAAGCTGTCGGCGATGGCGAGAGAGTCTCTCTCGACCACTTCGAGAGTTCGGAATATCTCGGTCTGGTTCAGCTCGGGTTTCGATTCCGTGTGGTCCTCCTCACCGGGATGGAGTGTGCTTTCAGGACACGTGGACGGTGGATCGAGGTGTGGCTCTGAGATTAGGGTTTCGGAGCTCGTCAGATGGCTCCGTTGAGCTCGTTCTCCTCCGTCTTCCTCCATTTTTCCTTCGTCTGTAACTGTGAAGTGTCAACTGTTATCTGACCCCGCCCAAAAAAAAAAAAAAAACCTTTTTATCGAAGGGCCTTTTTGCCTTTTACTCTCGGGAAGTGGCTTCCGTCCGGCCCAAAGAGGACCCGCCTGGTTCGCCATGTGCCGTACCCCCGTGCGGCTATATTACTTTTTTTCGTTATTGTTTTAAAAACAAGGGGATTTGGCTGACGCCTCGCGCCAGCTTCTCCGAGTGTCAAAACAGTATCGCCGCACGGCTATACTATTTTTTATAATTAAACCTTATTATCGCCGGCCGGCTATACGATTTATTTTATATAAAAAAAAATGCCTGGCATCATGTAAAACTGGTCTAGCCGTGCGGCTATACTATTTTCATTTTAAAAAAAATAGCATATCGGATATACTATTTTTGTTAAGAAAGCCCCGAGTATAGATCGGTTATACTATTTCTTAAAAAATATTTATTAAAAAAGGACCTCAGTAAAGCCGCGCGGCTATACTATTTAAAAAAGGGCTTCATTCCAATCGGAAATGAAAATCTACACACTCCTCGCAAGGATATGAAATGCCAATTTTCTCCAATTTAACATTAAATAAGCTGAATAATAAATTCAAAATTTAAGGGTAATATGGTAGCTAAACAACTATTCCAGACACATACGTGACATAAGTTGATAATTTTGATTATGATTTATAAATGGTTACCATCTCAATTTTTGCCCTCTTTGATTGTTAGAAAAAGTTGTTGCATGAGACTTATTGCTAAAAACTCCCCAAAATAGCAAATGACCCATTAGTGTAGTGATTTGAAGTATTTACTCCATCAGGCAAGGTCCTGGGTTCGAATCCTAGCATCCGTGTTGTGTGTGTGAGTTTAATATACTATCACCCCTCTCAATAGGAAAGGTCTCCCAAAAAAAAAATTTAAAAAAAAAAACCCTCCCCAAAATAAACATCTGCAAGGGTAGATTGATAGAATTTGAATTTTAATGCACTTTATCTCTCTTGTTTAGCTAAAATCTTGGGCTTATTTAGTCCATAGTAATATCCGATTTTAAATGCCATCTTTGACACAATACAATATTCTATTTCAAACTGTCGTTCAAATCATTTTGACCCCGCCGATAAACAGACATAATGGATTTTCATCATTGTTCTTGACCAAAGAAAAACAAAATGGTTAATGAAAAATGCTTCCTCTGAATTTTTGGAAGACATATGAAACAGCGCACATAGGAAAACAAGATGGGAACCAAAACAATTTCATGACACGTATATAAAAATACCTCGAGGGCATCGTTCAGTATGTAAGAAAGATCGAATCGAAAAACAACTAAGGATATCAAATGTTACTGCCAAAAAAATAAGTATCCCCTACCATTTCAGTTCACCATTAGAAACTCCGAACATGTCTTCTCATCCACCAATTATTAGCAGAAGGGAAAAGATGAGAAGTCCAAGCTCCATTGCATTCATCACCTGCTGACTCTATAGTTCTACATCAGAGAAAAACTTGGTTGAGTTTTCATCTAACTAATAAATTTATACCTTAGGGCAACTTCGAATTAATAATGTTGAGATATGTAAAACAAATTTTTATTTGAAGGAAAAACCAGAAAATACCTTGACAGTTTGCAATAGCTGTTTGGCAGTTTTGTCATTCTTGAAGTGTGACCGTACAGGCTGCATACAGGAAAAACAAATTTAAGCCTACCACCAGTATTTTGTTCAAAATGAAAAGAACATGGCATATAAAGAATTAAGCCTACCTCCAGTATTTTGTTCAATGCTTTTGATAAAGCTGATTTTAGGTCAGCTGGATGTAGCTCACCACTTTCATAATCAGCAGTCAATTCTTCAAAGCTTTTGAAGGTCCTGTATTGGGGGTGGAGGGGTGGGGAAGCAATTACAACCAATATGAAGTTCAATTAGGCAAACAAGCAAAAGCTTTTCAAATAAAATATTTTTTTCCAGTATAAATCAAAAGTCTATCACTTACTTATTTCCGCCATTTTTTTCAGAGCGCTCAACAATAAACTCATTGAACCAAGGTAGGATGAGATACTTCACATACTCCATGCATGGATTCCCTTCAACAACATTTGGAGGGCAGTAAGCTTTCTTTATCTTCAAATTCACTTCAGCCTGAGATTCAATGATATATGTCAAAAAATAGAATAAATATTATGTGGCATACATTGAAAGCTAAACCCCTAGCTTAAAACTTGAGTACATTTGTCTTCCAATTAATCTGCAGCTTATACAGGTGATTTAACACTTGCAAGTTTAGTTCACCTTTAGTAGCAAGCAACTCACCTCTTCATCTTCCATGAATACGGAGGATGATACATCACTTTTAGACATCTTCTCCTGCCCTTGTTGCAAACCAGGTAACATGTCTGCAAATCATCATTAAGAAAAACAAACAAATACTGTGTAAGTACTTTCATGTTAAAGCATAAAACATAACATTGCAACATCAGAAATAGGAATTAGAATGTTACGGTGCGACAGGATAATAGGTTTGTTCTTCTTCTTGATGTCATCACAATATTCTCTTGCAAGAACATTCACTTTGCGTTGATCCATTCCCAACTGGCAGATGTCAGCCTATCAAGGGAAAAACATTTCACACTTCACTATGTAATTTGACTATTGTGCACAATAAGACAACTTATGTGTTCAAAACACCTAAAAGTTATATGATGTTCTTCATTCTCCTCCATATTGCAAAAATCTGGTAGTTTCTCTGTTATAAGCATTATGATCAGGAGACACATCAGAAAAACAAGAGCTAAATAAATATTGAAGTGTTAGGAAAGCCTTTTGTAGGGCTCTCCAGTAAATGGGTCTTTATGTTCCTCCTTGCACTTTTCATTATTAAGATGTTCATATTCAATTAAATTTATATAATAGGTGCAAGAACTGAAGCATCACAAATTAAATGCATCGTGTTCTAAGTGGACCTAACATATACTTCATTCATACATAAAAACTAGCACAATTCCCTCGCTAATCAGTGCAATATAGCAAATGATGAAGCCCAGTCTACAGTATGTCACAACATAAGGCAACATGGGAAACAAAACATATTAATAAAGTATCCAAAAGTAAAACAACAAGCACCTTAAGGAAGAATATATCTGCACATTGCATACATGGGTAGAAAATTTGGGCTGCAGTTAAATCCTCTTGCTCACTTCGACCCATAATCTGACTACACCTGGATAAATAGAAGAAAAAAATACATTAAGTCCAAATTCAACAGATATAAAAGGCACAATAAGCATCGTAATAGGCTAGCTACCTAATTATCCTTTTAAGACTATTCTTTTGAGCTATGTCCATCACACGAGGCCAGTACTCATCTGCTTTCGAATTAATCTCCTTTGAAGACCACAAAAACTCAACTTTTCCATTGTCCAAATTCATCCCAGCAGCCCTCCATATCTCTATCAAGTAGCGCCCAACAGTCTCTATCTTTTTCAAATCACCCCCCATCTTATTGTTTAGCATTGCAAACCAATCTGCAATCCATATTTTCACTCTGCAGCCAGCAGAGGTCATCTTGTTCACATTTATCGTCTTCATAACTCCCTACACAACAGCACATTTGAACCTCACAAAATTAACAATGATATAATGAAAACATGCCCTTAAGTTTCTTACTACAATTATTCTTTCAAAACACAAGAAAGTCCGTTGCAATCCAAATAATCAATACACGAGAAAAACACACTGCAGAGTCTCAATTTGAGTACCTTCTCTCCACAAAAAGTATCAAATCTTGTTCAAAATCAACTATTGAAATTTACAGATATATTAATCAACATCAATTATGTGTTATGAATTTTATGATTGCTAATGAAAATTTGAAAAAACACCTGAGCAATATGCATTCGACCGGAGGGTTCAAACCCATCATAGGCGATGGGTTCAGACTTATGAGCCAGCAAATTCCGAAGCTCGTCCTCTTGAATACATTCCTCTGCCACGCTCCTCAAAATCTGGTACCTCTCCTCCAAACTCATTCTTCACCAAATCACACCCACAAGTTTGAAGTAAGTTCAGATCAACGGAAAAAATTAGAAATGATAAGAAAAGCGAGAGAAGCATACTGGATGGTTGGATTTGAGGAGCTGGATGGTGGAGCCTCGGAAATTGAAAGAGATTGGACTCCATCAGCTTGGGGGGCTTGCTCTGGTGCTTCAGTCGCCATTGGAGAGGTTAAATGTCAAGCTTTCCCAAAAGCTTTATAGAGTATATCTACAAAGAGAACATTAAAAACAAAAACCATAAGAATTTGAGCGCAGTATAGACCCCTTGCAGTCATTAACCTGTCAGTTAGTGTAAATAACCACCTATTTGATAACTAAGATAAACAGAAGCCCTTGAAACTTACAAACATACGAGGCAGCCAATTATAATTTTTCGTAAGTGAGACAAAAGTTTTCACCCAACAATCAGTAAAGTTAATTACCTTATCAATGCACCAAGAATCAAAGGAATGGTAGCAATTTGAAAGGTCCACCAACAATCAGTAATTGCTGCAGGAATGGGAATACTTTTTGTAGCAGTTGTTCCCCGCCGACTATCCACGTAGAAAGCTAGGACAATGAATGGGAAAAAAACCCATGTTAGCCAAATGATGCAAGGGCATCATGCATCCTAATCAAAATCTGCAGAAACCTAGAGCATTGAAAGTAGAAGTCTAATACTGAAATTCTAATTGAGAAAGCAACAATCTGTCCAAAGAAATCATGATAGAAGTGCCTGTCTCTCATTTCCTTCACATGGTACACCCAAATTCCCATTGCATAAACTAAACAAAATTAGAGAACTAGTGATAAGTTATAGGTTCATAGAGAGAAAGAAGACAGAAAAAAGAAAAAGAAAACAGAGTGTGGGATGACTTAATAAAATATCTAAAGAAAAATGAAAAAAAATTAGCATAACCTGTTCGGCTGGCGGAGACTGAATTCAGACATGAAGACAATTAACAAAATTAACAAATAAATTCAGATGAAGCCTCAAATAAATTTAGTGGTTAATATTTTCATCAAGTCTAAACTAGATAGCACAAATCAGTTGTGAAGTTAAACTGTCGAAGCTTGAAGTTAGATTATTTTTTTTAGCATCACAAAACAAAACAGAAATTCCCAAAACAGAAAGCAAATACAAAACAAAACCCATGTTGTAAAACTTGTGGGTTCGATCAAATACTCACTCGTACATGATGAACAGGAACAGCCACCAAAGTATAAGCTAACACAAGCCATAACTTTCAGTGGGATACATCAAATAGAAACTCCAAGACTATGAGCATAAGATGGGCTGCTTAAATAAATTAGATGTAGCAAAACCCTTTACTCAATATTCAAAACAGCCATTGAGTTTTCAAACCAAATTTCAACAACATAGTATTATCGTATTGGAAATTAACAAAGTTTTCCAACACAACTAACCCATACCCAAAACCACCAAACATCAGAAGAAGAGAAGAGATGCAGAGAGTAAATCTACCTTCAGAAAGCCACAAAGAGCAAAGACGTAAGCAAAGACGAAGGAGAAGGCGGAGGCGGAGGCGACGCGTCTTCGATTTCTGCTTGGGTTTACAAAACCCTCAAAACCCTCGTACATTTGACGCCAAAAAAAGGTAAGTTTAATAAGCCCAGCCCAAGTAGAAAAAACCAGGGCCAAGCTTGTCTTAGGTTCTACTATTCCGATTATATTACTTTTTTATATTATTATTTTTCTGTTCAATTGACAAACAACATTTTCAAATGAAATAAAAGTTCCGCATAAAAAAAAAAGAAGAAGAAGAAATAAAAGTGAAATTGACAAATAAATATTGAGGGTCCTCTTATTGAAATTGACAAATCAATAAACTTTATTTTTTCTAATTTTTGTATTTCAGAATTTTCACTACCTAAGACTACACTACGTACATCTCCAGTCGCGAGGTGTATATAGGAATATAAGCCGGAATGCTCTCAAGCTCTCACTAAGGATAAAAATTGAGGTGCGAACCAGTTGTTTCAAACAAAAACTTCACAAACTACCGATTTTAATACAATTATTTCGAATTCGAATATCTTTCATTAAGGAGTATCGACAAGTCAATAACTAATTGATGAATAAGGTAACATTTTTCAGTTTTGGTAGGTATAACCTCTATGGTAACATTTCTCCTTAAAATTGAAAGGTGTGAAGTTGTGATTATCCTTTAAAAACAAAAATTCCATATTTGTTCTTCACATTGATTTTGATTTTGTTATAGAAAACTACCAAGAAAAGGAAATTGAAAAGATAAGCATTTGTGCGGTCTTCAGCTATACTATAAGCAGCGCCGCGCGCACGTCCACATCCACGCGCCATCTATTTTTAAATTATAATAGTTTTTTTTTTGTTCGCCGGAGGCTTAAATTGGAATTCAAAATCCGGAAAACAACAACAAAGACAAAAATAACAAGGCGGGAACCCCACTCCGAAAGTGGAGGAGGGACCAAACTGCAAATTAACAAAAAGTACAGCCTCTTAATTCTAAACCCAAAAGCTAGAAGAAACTCAAAATCCCAATTCCCAACCAACCCCCCATATCTTTCATTTCACTCCCTCTATTTTCCAAAAAAGTTTTCTTCCTCTCTCTTCTCGGACCATAAAAAACGAAATAAAAAAAATTTAAAAATAGCAACCAAAAAATAAAAAATAAAAAAATCTCAATTTTCATAAGCGGATCGGTCCTCAGAATTTCAGCATTTGGTCTTTCCTCTCAGGCATTCGCAATCTCTCGGAGGAATTCGAATTCCTCCGGCCGGCCCCGAAGCTCTCTCTGTGGTGTGATCTGTCTGGTATGCCCCGTCAGGTTCGTAAATCTTTGGCCACATTCCGTCCGTACATTCTCGTGCATTTGTTTGCTGAAAGTTAGGGTTCTTTTTTCTGTTTGTTTCCGATCTGATTGCGGAGTTTGTGAATTGTGTGAGTGAAATGACAATGCAGCTTGAAATTGTCTAATTTGAGCGGTCAGATTTGAGCTGCTAGCCTGTTAGGGATTTTATTTTCATTTCTCTTGAGTTTTTGGTTTATTTTTTGGGTCGATATGATTTAGGGTCTGTTTGGTGGCTGAGAAAAAAAAAGGCTGGGATGAGGTAAAGATAAAGGGTTATTTGTAATTTATTTAATTTATAGGAGAAGAACATGGTCTACTTATGTCAGTCAACATATTTATCATATACATATATATACACACACACACACACACACACACACACACACACACACACGTGTGTGTGTGTGTGTGTGGCGTCCAGTTGAGTGTGTGAGTTTCTTATTAGATAAAGTGTATGTGAAGAAAGGAATGTACTTTAGGAGCTTTACCTTTATTTTTATTTTTGCTGATTTTATTAAACTCAGGAAGCATAAAAGAGTTCATTTTGAGGCTTGGATGAACGATTTTCAATATGATTTAAATGTTTTATTTATAAATCGCACTTTAAGTAATGTTGCAACGGACAAGAATGCTACTATATTGGCTGCACACGGTGGAAATTAATTAATGGCTGAATTTGGTATGTGCAAAATTGTTATTTTTCTCAAGTGATTTGATTACTTAGTTGGAATGCCAATGCATCGTGAATCATGAGGGCAAGAAGTTATGAAATATTGGTTTTCCAGTGAGGCATAGTGCTTTTGATGATTATGTGATATCTGCATGTGGCACACATGCACGGCCTTGTATTGATAGTTTCTTCAGGGAAATTTCCATATTAGGTCTTTTCTCCACCCTTAAGACTTTTGTTACCAGTTATATAGACTGATATATACTCCTTGCATTGTATTATTGTTTCCTTGTAGCTCTGTGTCTGCAATTGATAACAAGGACCGGGCATTTGTGGAAGTTTTATCATGAACACCCAGTCAGAGTCACACAAAGATGAGAATGGGGGGTCGAAGTCACACAAAGATGAGAATGGGGGTTCAAAGTCACACAAAGATGATAAGGGGGGATTTGAAATTATAAATGGGACTCGTGGTGAGAATGCTGAACTAGTGGAAAGTTTTGGCAGCACAATTGAAGGTAGTTATCTCACTCACTCTCTCACTCTCTCTGTAGTTATGTGCACGTAATCGGTCCCATCCTTACCTTTGAACTCTGATTTGTTTAGGTAACCAGATATTATCGCTGGTGGAATGGTTAAATTTTATCGTTCCTTATTTAAGATTGCCATTGGATGCTTCCGAGGAGGAACTCAGGGCCTGCTTAATCGATGGCACTGTTTTATGCAGAATTTTAAATAAGCTATGTCCTGGTTCAGTTGAAATGGTAGGATTTATTGTTCCATTTTCTTTGCTTGTAAATGTCTCATTATTTAACTTTGTTGTGCATTAGATTCTTAAGACTGTTTTCTTCTCTTTCTTTTAAATTGTATTAGCTTGGTATTGACCATTTGTACATGGTTTTACATATTGCATTCTTGATCTGAATGTTTTTTCCCTGCTTTAGGGAGGGAGTTCTGACCCTGGTTTTGCAAATATCACAAGGTTTCTGGCAGCTGTGGATGAATTAGGATTCCCCCGCTTTGAACTGTTAGACCTAGAGCAGGTAGTTAAATTAATATTTCTTTCACTATTTTGGTTTTTAACCTGTTTTTATCAGTCAAACAAGTCACTGGTTCTTTCTGTCTGATCTCATAGAAGCTAAGTATAATCCCGGTACAATCATGAATCTGAGGAATCTGGTCCATCTGGTGACTGTAAATAACATTGAATTTGAGCATCCTATGGCAAACTTGGTCTTAGCTCCGCTGTTTGTAGAGTTCTGGGTGCATACTTGAGGTGTATTTATTTACTAACACAGAGAGGATGCTTTGATAATGTTCTGGATAATTATAAAACCATATTATCCTGGTCTATGTGGCCAGCCCACTGTTAAGTCTTAGATTTATGTATAAGTATACTGGATGGATTAACCCGTACCTGTATTTGGTTGGAAAAGTCAACCTTTGAGTCTTTACTATTTCTCTACCTTGTAACTTCTTCGTATCATTTTATGGTCTGAGATCATTTGCAGGGTTCTATGGTGCCAGTTTTGCATTGCCTTAGTGCACTTAAAGCTTCTTTTGATTTTGGTTTTTGGGGAGAGAACACTAAAAATCAGACAAAGGCAGAAAATTATTTATTAGAGGTAGAATCTTTAAAGGGGATTGATCGTTCCCAAGGGGATGTCTCGACATGTGGACAACAATCTACTCAAAATAGAGAAGATACTGGAGGAAATTCCATTGATTCAACATCTCGAGTGACAGGTAGAAATCATAAACTTCATAGACTTGTATGACCCTGCATGTAGTGACAAATTTTGAAATTCTGATTTGGATATCTAGTTTTACATGCATTAGTCTTGTCAAAGTATATGCCAATTCCTATACTGTGTATATGTGATCATGTATGTATACTGTGTGCCACGCAGCGTAGTGCCCAATTTGGAGTAAACTAGGAGTTACAGGGGAGGCTGTGAAAGTTAGTTACTAGCTAGAATTGTGAGCCCTTTTTCTTTGGAGTACTTTTGCTGATACTTTAAGTGCAATAAACTTTTAACGTTAGATTGGATGTTGGGAGGAATGGGTGGTGGGTTGGAATACTTAGTTTCATTCAGCATGCCTAGCCAGACTAATTGGATTAATGCATTATTATGAAAATAATAATTGAAGCCCGGAATTAAGTAAATGCGGAACCTTATTTTTTATTTGGACTGATAGATGTTATTCTAGCACATAAGTTGTTGGTGTTGTAAAGACATTACTTTTAATTATGTTTCCCTCCCTTGTTTTTAGATCCATCAGCTGCGCTAGTACATCATATTGGACAGCAATTGAAGCAGGGGACTCTTGTTGATCTCTCTAATGCTAAGATTTTGGAGTCAATCAAATCAACCAGTTTAGATGTAATCTCTTGATTTTTTTGTTTTGTTTCGTATTGTACATCCTGTTTTATGTACATTGATAAGTTCTTGCTTTATATTAGTCAAAATTTTGTTTGATGTTGCAATTCTTTGTTGCAGAATGCATCTACTAGATCACTTTTCAATGTTGGGAATAGGATTTTGGATGACAGCATTGACAGAAACAATGGTGATGTACCTAATGTATGGCAGTAAGAGGATACATGGATGCCATACTGTTAAAGCATTCATGAATCCATGCACAGTTATAATTTGATTCCTTGGTCTATGTTGTATATTTATTTTGTATGTCTAACCTATCTTTATAATAATTTGCTCAGCGTGTTGCATATCTTCTGAGAAAAGTCATGCAAGTGATTGAGCAACGATTTGCAAATCAAGCAGTGAACCTGAGAATTGTAAAGTCTTCAGTTTTGTTTCATCAGAGAATATCGTTTTCTTATTCTACTCATTAGTATTAATTGTTTTTATTGTTGGATGCTTGTAGCAAAACAATATATATAAGGCCCGTGAGGAGAAGTTTCTATTGAAAATAAAAGTACTTGAAACCCTCGCATCAGGGACTACCGAAGAAAATGAGGTACACTGAGTAAAGCTTTTGGTTGTTTTTTTCGTTTGTAAATCCAAATTTAGATTTTTGGTATTAATCTAATTGATCTTCAATTGTTGTTACTTCCCTTCCTTTAGGTTGTTCTGAAACTGCTTCAGAGTATGAAGGTACTATTTTAAACTTTTATTCCTATCTTGAATTTACTACTGACGAAGCATTTCGTACTGTTGATTCTTTGATTTTAATGACTTTTTTGTGTCTTACTCTCTGAGAAACACATGGCTTTCATGCATGCCTTCTCTTTTACTCATCTTATTGATATCTCATCCACTTCAAATCCATAGTTTTTAAGTTAACATGATATATCAACTATGTATGTGTTCGTTTTACGGAATTATGGTTAAGGAATGGGATTAGTGTTTCATTTCCAGGTTTGTTTAGTACAATTAGTTTGGATTTTTCTTTCCATGTGTATCAAAGACCCAAAAGATGAAGATTTTTCAAAAGCTAGGAAAACTAGTAGGTTTTCTAACTCCATTATCCTAATTTGACTTTATGAGAAATAATAATGGCGAACATGCTCTTCTATCTGTGCTTCCAGGTAAAATTTCATTGGTGTCCCAATAAAAATGCTTTTGTTCCAACTTTTTTTTAACTTTGGAATGAAAATTGCTAGGTTCTACTTGTTCCTAAGAATGCCATTTCAAGGATTAGGTAATGGATTCTGAAAACCTGATTCTGCGATCCACACCGACCCCGAATCTGACTTACCGTAGGCAGCAGTGTAATATGATATCATGTATGCCAACGTCATATGGTTTCTTGGTTGACAGTTCATCAAAAATCACATTTGGGGAAGCATGCATCATTTATCTTTATTGCTCGTCTCCATGCATTTAATCTCTACACACCACATTTGTATTTGTTATGTGTATAACTGATTGGACAAATGTGAAATTTTTTTTTTCGGGAATGAAAGATGGTTATTATTTTAAAATTCACATTTAATCTTTGAAATTTGGATTAGAATAATAAAATTACCAAAAAAAAAAAAAAAAAAGAAGAAGAAGAAAGAGCCAGATACCTTTTAATGCAAATTTTTCTTTTTACTAGTTACATTGCTTGTCTTTTATACTATTTGCTATAACACGATCATTTTTTCAGATTGAGAAGTTTGATATAGAGGAGAAGAAAAAACTTGAGGAGCAGGATGCAGTGCGATTAAAGGAAGAGAAGGATCGCAGGGATAAAGAGATTTCAACACTGAAACAAGAACTAGAAATGGCCAAAAGCAGGCACGAAAGTCATTCCCTGAAATTAGAAGCAAATGCAAAAGAAGCTAAACTTCAATTGGAAAGGAGGTTAAAAGAACTCGAGGGCATACTAACAGATTCAAATAAGAACCAGAAAGAACTAGAGGCATCTTTGGAATCTGAATCATGGAGATGGAAAAAGAAAGAACACACTTACCAAAGTTTTTTAACTAACCAATTTGGAGCTTTGAAGGTTTGCCTTTACTGCCTTTACTTAGTCTCATAGAGTCAGTGCGTTGACATTGATTCTATAACATGATATGCTGATGCTGTATAGGAATTAAATGCTGCTTTGGAGTCCACAAGACATGAAATCTTGATGACAAAAACAAGTTACTCTGCAGAATTTAATTACCTGGGTAAGACTGATACGTAACAGCTTAATTTTTCCGTCTACTTGTAATTTTTTCATGGGCTGGGCATCTGTTCACAATCTATGCTTTTTACCTTCAATAGGCGCGAAGCTGAAAGGACTAACAGATGCTGCTGAAAAGTATCATGTTGTTCTTGATGAAAATCGGAAATTGTATAATGAGGTTCAGGATTTGAAAGGTACATTGTCAAATATAACTGTGTTATTGTCATATTTTGAATTGATTGTTTGTTAGTTGATTATGATGCTTGTTTTGGTCAAGGTAATATTAGAGTGTACTGTCGAATAAGACCATTCCTTCCGGGGCAAAGTCAGAAGCAAACCACCATAGAGTATGTTGGTGAAAATGGTGATATAGTTGTTGCAAATCCCTCTAAACAAGGAAAAGACAGCCGCAGGCTATTTAAATTTAACAAAGTATTTGGTCCTGCAGCTACACAAGGTATTTAGTTTCTAATATTGTGTAACAAATGATGTTGGCATAGATTATTTTCGTAATAATTGGTATACTTATATTGACCTATGTCAACAGAGGAGGTATTTTTGGACACCCAACCATTGATTCGTTCTGTGCTAGACGGGTACAATGTTTGTATATTTGCCTACGGTCAAACTGGTTCAGGAAAGACGTATACAATGGTATGAATGAATTTGTGTATGTTTTCTTCAATATACTGTGTACATTATTCTTACCCATGTTCTAACATATTTTTGGTGTTACTTCTAGAGTGGGCCTAGTGTATCATCAACAGATGACTGGGGTGTCAACTATCGAGCACTAAATGATCTTTTCCAAATATCTCAGAGCAGGGAAAGCTCCATAGCGTATGAAGTTGGCGTTCAAATGGTTGAGATATACAATGAACAAGTTCGCGATCTACTCTCAAGTGAGAGTCCTCAAAAAAGATATCCTTTATTCCGTCAATTTTTATTACCTTTTAAAATGTGACTCATGGTTGAGACTTGAGACTCAAGTAGACTACTTGCATTGACTAGTAGTTTGATCTTAGTTATTTTGTATAATTCCTTGTTGATGATATTGATCCTTTCTTCCACATTTTGGTATCAGAGTAGATTTGTTTTCTTTAACTTGCACACACTTGGGATTTGGAATACTACCCTACCAAATGGGTTAGCTGTCCCTGATGCAAGCATGCATCCTGTTAACTCAACTGCAGATGTCCTAAAGTTAATGAATATTGGGTTGATGAATCGGGCAGTCGGTGCCACTGCCCTAAATGAAAGAAGCAGCAGATCTCATAGGTTATATTCTGAGTACAAAGTTTTTTCTCCAACATTATATATTTGTTTTCTTCCATGAGACTTGGTTTTTAATCAATTATATGGTGCAGTGTTCTGACTGTTCATGTTCGAGGTGTGGACTTGAAGACTGACACTGCTCTGCGTGGTAGTCTACATCTTGTGGATCTTGCTGGCAGTGAACGAGTGGATCGCTCTGAAGCTACTGGAGATAGACTTAGGGAGGCACAGCATATAAACAAATCACTGTCTGCTCTTGGGGATGTAATTTTTGCTCTTGCACAAAAGAATTCACATGTACCATATAGAAATAGCAAACTAACTCAAGTGCTTCAGAGTTCTTTAGGTACTTGTCCAATTAATTTGGTTTCATTCTTGATAACAAGGTTCAATTAGTATGCGTTGCAAGTTATATTCTGTAACTCTCAATATCTTCAATTGATGGATGGCTTATTTATTGCTTTCTTCTCTAACTGCAGGTGGTCAAGCAAAAACCCTCATGTTTGTACAGCTGAATCCGGAAGTTCAATCCTTTTCTGAAACTATAAGTACACTGAAGTTTGCAGAGAGGGTTTCTGGCGTCGAACTGGGTGCTGCACGGAGCAACAGAGAGGGAAGATATGTAAGAGAACTTATGGAACAGGTACAAGTCCTTTTTTAAAACATGTCTACCTAGATATAGTTCCTTCCTGCCTTTTGAATTAAACTGTGATGGAATTTCCGTTCCTTTTTAAAACTAGTTCACAATCTTGTAAAATAAGTCGAGATTATAGAAAATTGAATAGGTTCTTTATCTTCATTTCCTCAGAAAGGAATGGGTTAAAGCTATTACTGGTAATGAACTTGTTCTCTGTTCTGGAAAAAATAAAGAACACAAAAAATAAATTTACTGAGCCCCAGGTCTTGTTTCTTTTTATGTGTGTAATTATTTGTTAAATCTTGCAGGTGGCATCCTTCAGGGACACAATTGCTAAGAAAGATGAGGAGATTGATCGATTGCTCAAAGCCAATATTAATGGGGTACACCGTGGCATGAACTCACTAAGATATGGGTCTTCCTCTCCAAGAAGACATTCAATTGGGACGCCTCGACAGAGCCAAAGAATGCCAGGTGGAAAAGGCTCAGGCTTGGAGCATGGTGATAAGCGTTCTGAATCCAGTTCTCAGCAGTCAACAGATGACTCTAGACATCATAGGGAAGACTCACCTCAGTCAAAGCATGGAGGTGAGACAAAGCATTCTGAAGCTAGTTCTCAGCAGTCAATAGATGACTTTAGAGACAATAAGGAACATTCACCCCGGTCAAAGCATGGAGGGGAGGCAAAGCATTCTGAAGCTAGTTCTAAGCGGTCAATAGATGACTTTAGACATCATAAGGACCGTTCGGCTCAACCGAAGCATTATGAAAATAGTTCTGAGCAGTCAATCGATGACTTTAGACATCATAATGAACATTCGACTCAACCAAAGCATGGAGGTGAGGCAAGTCAAAACTTTACTGAAGACTTTGAGCTCTTGGGCTTTGGCGAGGAAGATTCTGGGGAGAGATTAAGCGACATATCCGATGGTGATCTTTCAATGGGAACAGAAACCGAGGGTTCAATGGCCAGTCTTATGGAGTTTACTCTTTTCCCTGAAGTTACAAAACCAACAGAAAGTACAAAAGCTGGAAATACAGAACTCCAGAAAACTCAAGCTGAGAACGCACGAGGCGAGAAGACACCTTCCCAGCGCACAGTAAGGTGAGTTTCTCATTTCCTTGTCTCCTCATGTAATTTGCTAAGGTGTCCTTTTGTTAGTGAGATCAATAATTAATTGCTGGAAATTTTTTTTGGTGAATATTTAAAAGTTGCTGGCTGCTCTTGTCATGTTTTACATCTTTTAAATTGCCAGAATGCTGGTTGTTGTCTAAACTTTGCTACCTTTTTCCGTATTAAATTCACAATCTTTTGATGCACCATTGTTTATTATAATTGTTACTGGGTCACAGTTTCATAAATTTAATTGGAATTGAGAGTGCTTGATTTGGAAGGTTGGATTCTCATTCGAATTTGCCTGTCATTAAACTCATTATATTCCTATGAATCTAATGATTCAGCTGTTTCTTATCTCATTTCAAGGTTTGCGCCATCTAAACTTCCAAAGCCATCACCTAGGTTGTTGGAAACAAAAGCTACTCGGACATCATTGATCAAAAGTTCCTCGAAGGTTTTGTCAAGTATGCACCTAATCCTTCTGTCTGTATTTTAACAGTTCTGTTGAACTCATTAACTTTTACTGTTGCCACTGTATTTCAACAAACCCCCGTTCACTCACCCCTTCTTTTCCTCTTCTCGACGCCGCCCCTTTTTCTTTACTCATTCCCCTACCCTAATTCTTGTTAGGTCCTTGGCAATCTACCGCTGGCAGCAGCTCATCAGTGAAGCCTGGCAAACGCTGGCATTAAAAATGCAATTTCGACAGCCATAGTCTCAAAAACTCACTGTACTATGAAGATCTAACTCTGCTCCTTCTAGTGTTTTAGCAGTTTCCATTTGTCTTTATATTGAAAGTGGCAACTGGAGACTTCAGACTTTGACCTTGTAATATATGTACTTAAAGGATCATAGCATAACTTCGATTTTTGACATCCCTCCATCTTGTACAGTATACATTTTCTTTTTTAACTTTACAAGTTGGGAGATTGAATACATAGTCTGAGGACCGAGTTAGACAACATATTCTTCATAACCCCACATTTTTCATTAGAGTTAGACGGGTTCAAAACCAACTTTTGGTTTAGTTGTATTTTTCTTTTCTACTATTATTGTTCTTAAAAAACAACTTATACGGCTTGAGCAGTTGAAAAATAAAAAATCGATTGAAGAAGGTGAAATAAAAATTCAGCACTCTGATTTAAAAAAAGGTTACAACATCTTCATCATAAACAAAGTAAGAAAGTCCTCATTGACCGACGTGTCGAGAGAGTTGAGAAAAGAGTTGGAATGTAGTCAGGGAAAGAAAAATATTCATTAGTAAGTTCACTAAACTTGAAAACAAGAGGATTAATTAGTTAAAATTTCATTTATGCTTCGTTCTTGAATTCGATGAAGAGCTAGCAGGTTGTTGGTTTGCCCGTTGAAGAACCGAAAACAAGAACCTGGAGTTGAGAACATCCCAGCTGAGCCCAATTTCGTCACCCATGTTCAAGTCTCTCCTCCTCACAAACTTCCCCCACTTTCTACTGAAAACATAACTGTCGGAGCTCTTGTAACACTTGAGAATCAGTTGATGGTTGGAATTTGTATCGCAATCGTGAACTATAACCCTTGCACCCTGTCTGCTCGAAACCCTTTGTCCGAACTCCTCATTCAAGCAGGGCATAACATGTTTCTCCACCAAACTTCCCGCCAAAAGCTTGCACCGGTTTCCAAGGTCGCTTGTGGTCAACCTCTTCTTGATCTCCCAAGGGCCCTTTTTCATGGAAGGAGCAGGGTTTTGATCCACTGTTTCTCTCTTCTCGGAGGTTGAAGATGGAAGCCCCAAAGTCAATGTTGTCCAAACTATATCTTCTGGTGGGCACTGAGACTGAGGTGCACTGGAAGTAGCGGCTAGGGTTAGCTCTGTTAAGGGTTTCTCTTCTTCTTCTTCTTCTTCCATTCTGGAAACTTGAAAGAGAGAGTGGAAAATGCAGTAGGTTCTTGGATCTTGGCCTTGGAGAGAATCCAAAAGCGGATGAGGCTTGGTGATTCTGGTGATATTCATGATGATGGGTAGGACGTTGAGGTGACTTCACTGACTTGTGGAAGAGTACAGCTTTGGGTTTATCATAAGGAAAAGCTTTTGCTTCTTCCCGTTTCATGAAAGTCTTTCTCCTTGAAGAGAATCCAAAAGCTGATGAGGCTTAGGATTTCTGGTGATATTCATGGTGATATGTGTAGGGAGTTGATGTGACTTCACTGAGTTCTGTAAATGAACATGAAATAGCTTTAGGTTTGTCATAAGGAAAAACTTATGCTTTCGTTGGGTTTCGGGTCTGCAGATTAATTGGTGCCCAAGTAATTTTACCAACGGTCACGATTGATGAAACGTGGGTTTTCAAGTGAGTCTGGGATATATGGTTTTATTTATTTATTTGGACAAATATGATCGCATAATTTGGTGTTGATTTTCTTCGGGGCAAGCAATTGCATTATAACAACATGCTACTTGCATTTGAATAAAAATGTATGTGGAGCCCACATGTCCAATAACGACATGCGCTCTCTCTCCCCACTTTCGTCAAGGTTTCTATCCTCGCAATTCTTACTGATCAAATTCTTTCCCTGTTGAAATTCGATGTATTATTCATGATTTTTTCTTGTTTGGCTGCTGAGAAAGCTGAGGAAGAGAGAAGAATCTGATTTTGGAATGCTTATTGTATGCCAAACTGAGCTGTTGTAGTTAAATTTGGTCTTCAGTGGTCCTTTTTGAAGATTATTGTGTTTCATTTATAAGATTCTTTTTACACAACTTCATATACATTGCTCAAATGTGTTACATTAATTGTATGATTCTGTTCTTTCTGGGTGTAATTAGTTGATTTGAGGAACTGTTCGAGGGTGTTAATTGGGATGGAATAATGTCTTTCGCATTCAGGGTCCATGTATTGTCAACATGTACTGTCAATCGGGTCATTAGATGACTTCAGACATCGTAAGGACCATTCGACAGCCATCAATGAAGCCTGGCAAACGCTGGCATTAAGAAGGCCATTTCGACAGCCATAACCACATGAAACCAGAGCCAATTCAGTCTGAGTCTATTGAACGGCAGCCACATCGTCTGGTTTGTGACGGTGGGGAAGATGAAAGGCGTTTTGTTTTTTGGTAAAACTGAAATAAAAATAAATTGAGCTTATTACTAAAGACGATACAGGGTAAGTAATCCTGTAGTGATCTTTTTTAATCCAACATCTTTTTTTGGATAAACTACAGTAAACCCCCCAACCTATAGAGTCATTTACGAGTTCATACCCGATTTTGGGGACATTTATGGGTACATACACAACGTCGCGAAAACTTACAGATTGCCCCCTCCGTTAGCGAATCCGTCAGGAAATCTGTTATGTGCCTACGTGGCGTCTGACCTTCTGTAATTCAGGAAATCTGTTAAGGGCATTTTCGGCATCTCACGTCCCTAGGTTTCACGCCCAAAACAACACGTGGCATTATGTAATTCAAAAAAAAAGAAAAAACCCTCGAATCGTTCCAGAAGCTCATCGTCTATAACCCCCCTCACCAAAATCGATTTCCCCCCCAACTCGAAACTGATTGCACAAATTGAAACCTAATCCCCATTTCGCATCGATCGAAAGCGCAAAGAAGGCTGGGTTGCTGTAATTCGAGATGCCCTGGGGTATTCTTCCTCATGGTTGTCATGCTCCTCGTTACTGTAAGTTGAAGGCAGTTTTTAAATTTTCTTGCTTTTTGGTTTCCTCGCAAAGGTTTAAGATGCGTGCGGTTTGATTTTGTCTGAACCTTTCAGTTGCTTTGAAGTGTGCTTGATAGTGATATTTGTGGTCCATGGTTGATAGTAAACTTAGTTGTGTTGTTGGAAAGGCATAAAAAAAAAAGCACTTTTTATTTTCAAACCAAACTGCTTTTGATTGGAGACAGTACTTAGTGGTCCAAAACCTCTGCATTTGTTTATGTCCTTGTTTAGTCACCAGTTAAATATTGAACAATTGTGTATTGATAGGTTTGACTGTTATGTGGCATTGTAGTTGAAGATGATAAGTTTACTATTCAAATGAACCATGAGGGTTCTTTATGTGACAACCTATATGTAAATGAGACTCTGGATTTCATTGATTTTTGTGATAAGGATCAAATGTCTATGTTTGAAATTGGTCTGATGGTATAGTGTTATATCACTATGAGCTTCCCAACTCTGCTTCTGTAGAGAAGCTTATGTCTGATGAAGATGTTCTGAAAATGTGTGAATGTGTGCCAGGAGTAAGGGAGATAGATATATTTTTGACACAGTTGGCTAATGACCCTTATACCTTTTTAAACAAACACAAAGAGATGGAGCTGCAAAGGGTGAAAGGTTCTGGGGTCCAAAAACAGAGGTCAGTCGTGATTGAGGATATATGATGTGCTGATTCTATTCCTCTTGTTCCTTATAAGACAAAGAGATGTTGAGCAGCCAACGAATGCAAAGGGTAAAACACTAAAGATAGTGGAGCAAGAACCAGTGGAGGATGTTGGGGATTTTTCAGAACCTGAGGCACCAAAGAATGCAAAGGGTAAAACAGTGGCTGAGGCAGCAAAGAAGGGAAAGGCTGCAAGGTCTTCAAAGGATAAAGAAGTGGCTGAACCTGAGCCACCAAAGAGTGTAAGGGCTATAAGGTCTTCAAAGGGTAAAGAAGTGGCTGAACCTGAGGCACCAAAGAGGACAAGGGCTACAAGGTCTTCAAAGGGTAAAGAAGTGGTTGAACCTGAGGCACCAAAGATGGCAAGGGCTACAAGGTCTTCAAAGGGTAAAGGTGTGGCAATGACAAGTGCAACAGATTGGGAAGATAATGATGCATCTACTTTTGTTGACAGTGAGTATGGGGAGGAACATTGAAGAGATAGCTGAGGAAACCATATTTTTGCAACAGTGGATTGCAGACTATTCCCCAGTTGAAGAAACTTTTCAGCCTTTTGAAGATGAAAAGATAAATGAGGGTGATGTTGTTAATGAGGGTGAATGTGGTGTTGTTAATGAAGGTGGTGTTGTTAATGAGGGTGAATGTCCAAGTGGGGACCAACCTTTACATGCTGGTCCAAGTGGGGACTACCCTTCACAAGCTGGCCCAAGTGGGGACCACCCTTCACAGACTGGTCAAAATGAAGACCAACCTTCACAGACTGGTCAAAATAGGGAGCAGCCTTCTCGGACTACGGATTTTCACCACACAGATCTTGAAGACACCAGATTGGAAGAAGGGGATCAAGCAGTGAAAAATGAGTTAAGAAGTGTTCATTCAGATGAAGATGATGAACCAATTGCAAGGGGGAAAAAATTCAAACACTACAACCATGAAACAAAACCATGTTTTTGATACTGGACTGATATTCAGTGACTGCAAGGTTTTCAGAGAAGCTATTCGTGAATATTACTTGTTGAGTGGAAAAGAGGTCACTTTCACCAAGAATGAAAAGTATAAGCTAACGACAGTTTGTAAGCAGTGAGCTGTCCATGACAGATTTATGTGGCTTGGAAAAACCCTACAGATCGAAGCTTGGTGGTGAAATACTATAATCCCAATCACAATTATGTCAGAGTATTTCAAAACACACAAGCCCCAAGTAAATGGTTGAGAGATAAGTTCCTGCCTAGGATTCAGTCAAATCCCACAATGCCTCCATAGTCTATAGTCAATGCAGCCTCTTCTGAGTTTAAAGTAGGTATATCTAGGATGAAAGCTTACAGGGCAAAGGCAGA